AATAGCTGTGAATTTGCCAATATTTATGTCTTGGCAATCAAATTTTTTTCCAGATCCATTCTGCATCTTTTTTACTTTTTACGTCTTGACTCTGTTCATTGCAATGTTCACATCATAGCGTTCTTTTGGGCATTCATAGAGGAGGGTCTTTTTCTAACGGATTCGTAAGATCATTGTCTTATTTGCTGGGCCTCAGCTGGAAGTATATGTTTTATTTTGCTATTTGATCTTACTCCAGAACCTACCATACTGCAGCTGATGAAATGCCTCTAGCTCCATAGTGTGCTAATTTATCCTAATTTATCAGATTTTACCCAGAAACTATGTATCTCTCAAATTATATATGCTGGTTTTGTGCAACACTGTGTTCTATGGTCAGTCACAGTGAGAACTGTTACCTCTAGAAGCTGCAGCTATATTTTTCAGCACTAAGTACTTCTGAATTTCAGAAAGCGTTTCTTAAAAAGATGTATAGATTCTTCCTGGGTTACTTAATTTTTAGGCATTTATTTCAGATTTTTTTTAGACTAATACAAAAGTCATATTTCTGCTAGGTTGCCTTCACACTCAGCACTAAGCATGCATTTTACAGTTATTATTCATTATTTCTGTAACACAGACTCCCTTCTTAGCAGTCTCAGGAGTTCAATCTACTTAGTTACTGCTGTGTGCTCCGCATGGAATAAAACTGCTCAAGCATCATTCCAACATGTAGGGATAATGTATTGGTAATCAAAGATGCAAAGAGAAATGCATGTGTCACATCAAGCTGTGCTCTCACTTGGCTCAGCTTGAGATTGCAGCTGATTAAATGTCATAGTGGCTCTAGTCAATCTTGTCTACCTACCATGCGATTTCTGCCCACTCTAATGAACAGGTATTTCATTACAAGGTCTAGGAAGACTGTCTAAGCAGTCTATCTTTTCTTCATATTTTTCTGCAACTTTGGAGATAAGCAGGGAAATATTAACTCCTTCAGTCCTGAAGTCACCATTTCTTTAACAACTCATTTAATTGTTGTGCCCTTGTCTGTCAAGCAATATTCCAAATAATGTTTTATTGCAACTCTTTTCACAGATGGGAAAAGGCACCACTCCTACCCTCTAAAAAGATATTTGTTAAGAATTGTATTAGATACATCCTTTAGCACTGATTTTATTGTCAAGCTTAACTACTGCATTGGTAGCATTAGTAGATTGCTCTGCAATATCCATTATTGCCAGGTAGGTGGAACACCACCATGCATGTGCCTGCAAAAGCATGTCAAGAGGAAGACAGGTGGTGCCTGAAAATGAGAAATATTGCAGGCTGCTTTACTCAGCAACTGGATCTGAATCCATTGAGGTCAAGAAATACTAATTCCTGAGGTGCATTTCTGGGATGACAGCAGGAGGTGCCATATTTTCCCAGCAGCTAGAGGATAGCCCCTGCCACCACCACACCCAGAAATGAAGAATGGGATATGGAGACCCCTTCTGAGGGAGAAGCAGCATTCATTTGCTGAACAGTCCAATCATCCAACAGCTCACCCCCACAGAGGGCAAAATTTAGATATCACTAAATAAATATTATTAAATACAGCCTGGCTACCTTATGTATGTGTCTTGGTGAGCAAAACCACCAGCCCTGGGGGCACTAGCACTAAAGACTTCTGGAGCCAGGAACTGAGGAGTCAGGAATGCTCTCCTCCATCCCCCCAGCTGAAGACAGCAGTTCAGGAGAGTGCAGACCTGTGCTGGCAGCAAGGGATGAGGGGCTACAGAACTGCTATCTACAGAAAGACTCTGTTGTTAGAGTACCCTATTCAGAGTAACTGATGCACAGATTAGAGTCTATCAGCTAAAAACCTGGAAGGGAACTCAGGCACACCAGCTATCAAATCCAGCAAGGAAAAGTTGTAGTTTAATGACCAACAGTAGCAAAAGTCAGTAAGTGAGTTAAAAATGTGGTGACCTGGCCAAAGGCTGAGGGAAAATAAGGAGAATAACAGGACAGCCAAATAAACTTCAGAAATATCTCTTTGCAAAGGTCAGAAGTACAAGGCTAACATGAAATGAAAGCAATGAGAATACCAGGAAGAAATTCCAGGAAATGGCAGGCAGGGTATTTGTGAAGATAATCTAAGGGATAACAGAAAACCTGTCTGTTTGAAAACCAAAACAGCTATAATTACTTGTTCTGGTTAGAAGGAAGACAGGAGCCATCCTTCAACATGCATGGCTTGTCTTATTCAAAAGCACATAATGACCTAAAAATTAAAAGGAAACAGTAGCCAAAAGGACATATGAGGAGATTAAAATAAAGAAATGGTGTCAGCTTGCAGATAACAGAATCAGAAGGGTTGAGCTCTGAAATCAGTTTTGACTGTCATGGGACATAAGAGACAATTAAAGGAGTTTGATAAAAACATTAGAAAATAAAATGAGAAAAAGGAAGTTGCAGTCATTAAATAATGCAGTAACAGTCCATAACAGATAAAAGCAGAATGTAGTAATGATAACCCAAAATACATATGAATTTAGCATGAAAAGAATAGGAAGAATCATAGTTCAGACTAGGAAAAAAACTGGTGGAATATATTTTAGGAAAAAAATGTGTGGCAAAACCTAATGAAACTTGCTTTGAAATCCACCAGGCCCTTACAAAATCAATTTGAAATTATCAATTTGAGATGATCACTGATTTTCCTCCAGGTCATGGAAGGACAGGGAAGTCCTGCACTGGAGAAGAGCACATGTCTGAAGAGAAGAGGTTCACAAAAACTCAGCAAATTCTAAGTCAAATGGCCTAATTCTGACATTAAAACAAAGCAAAACAAAATACACCACAAAGAAAAACCTGCTTCAATAATTTATTAAACTAGTTAATGTTCACTCAGGGAACAACATTCTCAAAAGTACACTTAACTTGGAATTCTCAAGAGCAACTCATGTCAAATCCAAACTTCTCTATTGAACAGGCTAACAGGGATAAAAGAAAACCTATGGATATATTAAGGGGATCTTTTGTACAATTTTTGATATCCTTTAAAAAGGCTAAAAAAAGTATGCAAATAAAAGCTCTATAAATATATAGAGAACAAAAGCAAACTTCAAATCCTTGCTAGCTGGTTTTGTTGTGTAACTGGTAGAGCCTGACATGTGAGACTGCTTTCTTCTGGACACGTTTCAGGTTAATGATTTTTCCATTAACTGCTTTGAAAACAAACAAACAAAAAAAAGTGAGATACTCTTAAAACTGGAGAAGAGCACTGCACTGCTGGTAAGGCTTTGACTGAGATATGGTGACCCTTGGCTATGCCTTAAGAAAGCTAAATACAAATGGAGTAGACAAATGCTTAAAAAAATGTAATAGGCACAGCCTGTGGGAAAAGGCTAAAAGAACTTGTTTACTCCAGAAAGAATAAACAATGCCTCCCAATGCAGATTATTGTTTTGCTCCCTACATAGAGTTAATAAAAAGAAATTTACAAATTTTTAGTAAAGGAGAATAAGACTACATTTTATTTTATAGCCTTATTATGTAAGGCTAAAAATTAGTTCTGTAACTGTAGCTATATTATTAATGACTGAGCCTGGCCATCTAGGATATGTGGAATTCTACCACATGAGGATTTTGTTTGAATACACTGATTTCCATAGAGCTTCCTTGTGTCAGTCCATGCCAAATCAACTGGAATAAATGATTCCTTGAGATCTCGTTGAGAATCACACTGCTGCTTTTAAATAGGAATCTAAGTAGTCTGCAGAAGTATGCTAGGGTACATTTTGGCTTTTCATAATGCAATATGCCAAGGGGATTAAAATTCTTCCACTCACACAGCAAAGGGAGGTGTTGTTGTGGGGTGTCATATCATATGCTTAATATTTATAGAAAGAGAGGTTACCCAATGCTTTTCCTCAAACCTGCTCCTCTCTAAGCAAGCAATGAGGGAGGGAATGCGAAGAGCTTTTCTTGGGACTTTTTGGTACAGTTTTTGAGCATTTTTTGTTTGGTTTGTGTGTGTTTTCTGGTGGGTTATTTTTGTTGTTTGTTTTTTTTTCTGTTGTTGCTGGGTTTTGTGTTTGTTTTAACTTGAGATCCTGCAAAGAAGAGGGAAACAGAAGGAAACAATACAGACACAGTATCCAGGGCTTCTTGCACAGCATAGCTGTGCCCCTGGCTGCACTCTCAGCCCAGCTCTGGAACTTAAAAACTGAGGCTGCAAGTCTTTGGAAAGCACAGGAGATAAACATCCATTTTCACTATCTTTAGTGCACTGAGCAAAGATATAAGAATTTGTTTGTACAGCCCAAATTTTCTAGAGATAGTACTAGCAAGGTTAGAGTTTATCTTCCCTTCTACGTAAGTAACTTCTGCTCAGGTATGAAATAGAAAGTGCTGGTGAGAGATGGGATCTTAGACCATTCCAACTAAAATAACTGAAGTACTTGCCACCGAATCAAAGGATAGCTGGGCTTGGAAGGGACCTCTGGAGATCATTTAGCCCAGCTGCCCTACCACGGCAGTGTCACCCAGAGCAGGTGGCACAGGGACACGTCCAGGTAGGTTTGGAATGTTTCCAGGCAGGACAACTCCACGTGTTCCCGACACAGCCCCAGGCGGAGCCCCGTCGCCTTCCCGTCCCCGCTCCCCCTCACGCCGCCCTCGCGCCACCGGGGGCGGGGCCACACGCCCCGCGAGGGGCGGCGCGCGCCAATGCAGAGCCACCTGCCGCGGCCCCGCAGCCAATCGCGGCCCGCGGAGCCGCCGCGCGACGCAGCCCCGCGCGCTGCGGAGGAACGCCGGCGGCTCGGCCCGCGCCGAGCCCTCCTCGCCGCGCTTTGCGACGCTCTCCCCCCTCTCCTCCCGCCGCGTTGCTTTACGGCCCGCGCCTTTCCCCCTGCCCGTGACCGTCTCCCCCGGCCGCGCGCGCGGGGGGCGGGGCCGCCGCGGCCAATGGGCGGCGAGAGCGCCGCGGTGACGGGGCGGGGCGGGGCGGGGGGCGCGCGCTGCCGTAAAGCGGGCGGCGGGCGGCGCGCGGGGCAGTTGTCAGCGGCGGCGGCGTCGCGGCGGGAGGCGGCCGGGCCAGGTGGGCGAGCCCTCACCCCACTGCCGCCGGGACGCCATGGCGGCGGCGCTGGGCCGCAAGGCCGTGGACTATGTGCGCAGCAAAGAGTTCAGGGACTACCTGATGAGGTGAGCGCGGCGTGGGCGGTGTCATCGCCGAGCCCACCGCCCTGCCCGGGCAGGCGGTAGGGACTAGCGTTCGGTCCCCGGACCTCTCCGCTTCCCGCAGCCTCGGGGCGCCCGGGACGGGGTCGGACGGTTCGTACCGATTGACCCCTGGCGAGGTCGCCCTCACCGGCGGCTGGCCGGGTGGGGAAGGCAGCGAGGAGCCGGCCCGGAGGTGCCGTGGCCCCGGCGTTCCCCTTGTCTCGCCGTGGGGGCTGTCACTGTCCCGCCCGGCCCGAGCAAACCGGCCGTGACCTTGAAGTGACGCGGCGCGCTTCGAAGCTGCGGCTGCGCCCCTCCTGACCTTGCGGTGCCGCCGTGACAGCCGGCCCGCCGCGGCAGGGCTGGCTGAGGCGCGGGGCGGCAGCGGGCTCGGCAGCCCGGGACCGGGACAGCCTGGCTGCTGCCTGCCGCAAGGGCAGAGGAGCTTCTCTCTGCCTTGGGCAGAGGCGAGCTTCATCATGGTTGCAGTGTGAAGATGGGTTGTTTGGATCCCTTGAGTAGGTGTAAGTAGGTGTCTCTTTCCAGAGGCTTGTTGGAGCCCCGCTGTCGTTGGAACGTGGCTTAAAGTCACCTCCCAGACAGCTCAGTGCTTGTGTCAAGCTTTGTCTTTCGTGCTGTGGTAAGGGATGTGGCACTCTGGACTGAAACTATACGACTGCCTAAAGTACAGTTTTGGCATACTTAAATCTTGCTGAACCACTGTGCAGGAACAGTCTCAGGTAGGCAGGCTGAAGTTTCTCTACCTGACAGGCTGTTTGACAAACTAAACAAAAGTTACCTCGTCTAATAAAGGTGGTTTAGCAACCTTTCACTATAGCTATTGCTTGCTGTTTTACCTACGTCTATTGCAACTGGTTTGATGTTGAGCAAGCATGTAGGAGGATATATGTTTAGCTTTGAAACGTTGTCTTGGTTAAAGTAGCAGGACATGCTGTAAGGCTGCATGGATAAGGGATTATAATGTAAAGCCTTAAACTTCAGGAGACTAGACTTAGATTAGATATTTGGAAGATGTGTTTTACCTTAGGGATGGTGAGGCACTAGAAAGTTTGCTTAATTTGTTCAGTATTCACAGAATCAAAATCCATAAAAATAGGAGGAGGAAGATAACAACCTTGAAGCAAAACAAAAGTCCAGAGCAGGCTTCTGTAGTTCCTTTTGTAAGTCTTGAGGATTCCATGTAAGCTTCATAGATGCATGAGTGTTAACATTTAGTTAACTGTAACAGCATTCATGTGAAGTATGTAAATAGCTATTAAACCAGTAATCTGCTTCATAATTAGAAAAACAAACATCCAGATGTGATTACAGCTGCTTCCTAATGTCATCACAGTTACTGGAAATATCTCTATCCTCACCCTAGACTGAGAGGGTTTTTCTAAAAAAAACTTTCAGATGCATTTAACTTAGTTTTCAAACAAGCTACATATGTGACTATTCCAGTAAAAAGAACATTCCACAGGTTTCTACTATTGGGATGGATTGTGTTCTGCCTTGCTATATACCAAGATACTTGCTTAATTTTCAAAGTTAAGTTTAAAATTTAAATAGCTGTCAGTAAAAGACTTGTCTGTCTTCTGCATAAGAAGTAGAGAGTTATCTCTTTGCATGTCTTCCTGGAGGCGATTTTTTTCCTCAGACTACAGGACTCTACCCTGAAGAAAAGTCCTTTCTTTGCTCAGGGAGTAAGTGTCCTTAAAGCCCTGAGACTGTGGTGTCTGTTCTAAAAATCAGCATCTAATCGCTGCAGAGAATCAAGTTTGTTTGAAAGTTGTTTGTCAGAATTAATGACTTAAGGTACTGTTTGGGATTCTAGAGATAGATAGGCTTCCAATTGCTTGACTCTCAATAGAATAACTTGGGCTACCCAAAGTGGTAGAATAAGTGCCCCATTATTATGGCTTGGGGCAATCAAAAACTTAAAGACATCTATTGGAATAATTAGCTTTGATTTCAGCTTCAAAATCTGAAAATATGAAAGCAAGTGTAATGAATGCATGATGCTTTGTTCAGGTGGATATATCTGGCATTAGAATTGCATTATGTCATGGGTTAGCTTTTGGATCTTGCACAAAGAAACAGGAGAAGTTGCTTTTAAAACTGTCATTAAAAATTAATTATTCTGCCATGTGAAACTGGCTTTTCTCTAGTGGTGATTAATAGGGATCTGAATGACTGTAAAGTATATAAATACAAATCTACCCTGTGTCCTAATGCTTCAAAATGAGCATAGTAAGAACATAAGCTGTTGGTAGGCTTTTCCTGCTTCTTGTAAAATGCAGCAGTAATGTAATTTAAAACTAGCTGATTAGCATATTAAAGACTGGTAGCTCTGTGTCTTGTGAACCTTAAGTTGTATTTTTTCTCCAGATTCTAAAAATGACAGCTATCACTATAGTCATATTATCTAAGCCACCAATAGTGGGCAACTGCATCCTCTTATTTCCTATCCTATTGATTTAAAACCTCTTCTGAAAAACATCTAATACAACTGTTTCCCTCCTCCTCTAAGACAGAAGACATCATTCTAGACAAGCTGTCATTTTCTTGTGGTAGAAGCCTAAATTGCTTTCATCACATAATGAATTGCAAGGAATGCAGAAATCTCCTGGTAGCAGAAAAATAAGCACAGACATTGCAGTCTGCTGGGACATTTCTGAAATGTCTCTTCCTGATGACTCAGCACTAATGCAAATGTAGGGACTATATGCAGAAGGCTTGGAAATATAGTTCATTCTTGGAAAGCCTGAGCACTTTGATGTGAGCTGCATAGGAACTTTCTTTTAACTTAAGCAAACTTCAGAGAAGGTAGCATTGGTCATAGAACTAAAACTAGCTGATCTTCAGTTCTCTTCAATAGATCTTTCAACATGAGGATGTAAGAATTTTAAAGTAAAAAGTTCTGTGATGCAGGCTAGAAACTGGTGGACACAGCACCTGCTTGCCTTGTGTGCTCTGAGAACTGAACGACTGGCCCTTTTGCAGAAGGGTAGTGCCCTTTCCACTTAGGGGATGACAGTGTGGGGAAAACACATAGTGACAGTTCACCTATATTTGCAGAATGGTCTCTGGCCTACTAATATTCTTATTGCCAGAATGAGGGAAATAGATGCAGAAATTTTAGAAAACTAGGTCTTTCCCACTGTAGCATTTTTGGAATGAGTTTAGTACCAATATGAGGTATTGTCACCCCTGGGTTCCTCTTATCTTGTCTAGACATTTATACAGAAAACTGACACTTGGAAACTGGGTAAATCCAACAGCTGTTGTTCACAGTTCTGAAAACATTAGTACAGTGTTTTCTTTGTCAAGGGACTGAATTTAGTTCTTGAGGTTCTTGGAAATTAATAATTTGGAAGGGAGTCACTTCAGAAATAGATGTGTACCCATAGTGCAGTATCCTCGCTATTGGATGTGGTGCATGTGTTGCAACTCTCTTGGCTGCAGAGCTTTGGAGCTGGATGCCTGTTTCCTGGGAGAGTCGATGTGCCCTTGGTTTACCCTCTTCTATACATGTTCCGCTCCCATGTGATTGTAAGGACAACCTTGTAAGACCTCAGCCAGAGCTGCCTACTCTGTTAAAGTAGTATCAGTTTGATTCTATTTTAGGCTTTCACTCCCTGGAAACAACTCACACTTTAAAAATTAAGGCTGACTTCTGTTGGCATAAAAATGTGGTGCCAGAAGATGCATCTGAACTTTAGTTTGTGTTTTATGAAGAAATTTAAGTTTACATTTGTCTTATGAACTTAGTCAACTGTTGCTGCAGATCAGTTAAAGAGAAAACAAACAACAAGTGGCTAGACTAGTCAAGGGCATCCAAATGAAGGACCTTGAACCAGCTTGTAGTGAAGACTCACTGAAACACACATCCTGTGTGATTTCCTAAGTACACCTGACTGTTCCCTTACCATAGCTCTTTATAAAATGGTGATCTAAGAACATGGAAATCAGTGTGAGGGAAGTGATAGTTACAAAGTGTTCTGCAACTCAGGCTTTCTATTAGCCTACCAATTTCTCATAAGAAAGGCCTTCTTGTAAGTCGTAATTCAGAACTAAGTCTTATCAGTGTCTTTATAAGAAAGAAGGTGCTTAAAATTTTGCCAGCTTTTGTTACAAAAGCTTCATGACAAGCAATCGTAAGTGTATGATGTAGTCTATCTTTTGTGCATAGATCATTAAGTTATTACATAAATTGGTACCTAGATTAACACTGAAATGAAGCCCATACATGACTGAAGTGTAATTGCATGTATCATTGAGAATGTGTTATAGTTCATGTTTGGTACAGCCACAGGAAGGAAGAAACACGGTGACAGGAAGATATCTGGCAATCTTTGGTTTGACCTACTTACTAAGGAATACAGAGAATTCCAAGTGACTCTGAAGCTTTCACTGAATAATTCTAGCTGTTTAGCTTTGTCGTGACAAAGCTCGATGTCTTTTGGCATCCTTTGAAGTAGTTGGGGTAGGATTTTGGGTGCTCTGAAGGGTTGAATGTCTTCCACTGACCATAATGGGATTTTACGTAGCTGGGAAAAAGAGCAAAAAAACTTGTCACAGTGATAGCTCCTGTGGGAAATGGGATTTTTTTTTTAAACACTAATACATTATTCAAAGTTAATGCTGTGACAGCTTTCTGACTTCTATTTTCTATTTGTGGTATGCTTTTGTCTATGTAGATTATTAAAGAAACTAATGTGGGTTTTTTTTCTTCTTTCTTTCATGTGCTTTTTGAATGGAAAACAATGATGGTGCACTTGAACAGTACGGTAAGAAAAGGGGGAGGGTATTTCTGGTTTCACAATCTTCCTAACTTCAGGAGCTTGCTGTCTTTTTCTGTTAGTACTGTTACGACTTTGTCTGCACCTGAAAGGCATGCTACAAATCTCCAGGAGAGATGCATGAGGAATATTTAATTGCAAGTCTGAGGTTAAGATGACCAAGTGTTAGCTCCTTCAGAGTGTCTTAAAGGGGCTATGATTTTTCCATACCCTTTTGTTAAGGAGATCAGAGCGGTGTGAAACCTATTCTTCTATGTAGCAGCAATACTGTTACATAACCAAGCTACCTGGCTTATCTCTAATGGCTTTCAGGCCAGACAATAAATGTACAAAATAACTCGCCTTACACTCGTCTTCTGTCCTGGACCCTTTCAGTTTGCCCCTGAAACTGGAAGTGGGAATTTTATGCCTGTTGTACTGTGAATCATAATGTTATGGAAGATTTGCTCTTCTACCTAGACAAAAGACAAACTTTATAGGTGTATTTTAATTCTTGTGAGACTTCAAAGGGCTGCCTGCCTTGAGGCACTTAAAGCCTGATAGCAATCTCAAAGTTCCAAATAAAACTCCATTTCAGCAGTGAAAAGCTACTGCTGCAGTACTTTTGTTTACTGATGATTCTTCAGCTTGCACAGGCTGGATTCGAGTGGTCCATAATCTATGGTGTATTATTTGGTTATGTTCTAATGGCAATTAGTTGAGTAAAAATACCAAGTTGATTTAATTTACTTTTCAAAACAAAAGCTGTCACACAGATTCTTAAAAGCTGTGAATATTTTGGAGATTCAAGAAAAATCTTTCATAAAGTACAGTTGTTCATATGAGACCCCTGAAATTACTATAAAGCCATCACCAAGTACAGGTAGTGTCTCTCCACCTGAAGTTTATTTTGGTGTGGTGGTACAGTGTAAATACCACATACTCATGCAACTCCCCTCAGTTATGCCATGTTACCTCTGATGTGCTTGAGAGGCTTTAATCATTACAGATGTCAATTTTCCTACCACTAGGAATATAGCAAACAAATGCTTTTATTATGTTATTAAGAATACTGTTGTAAATCTAAACTTGCAGAAATACTATGTTGTGCATATTGCACTGAAGTTGAACTATCAAAACTATGTGTTAAACTCACTTTTTTCTATTTAAGTTTCTTCTATTGCAACTGCACGAAGCAAGTGTGGCTTTTAGTCTGACTGTACTGTTGCAAGCAAGACTGGCAAGAGTATCTTAGAATTAAAATTGCAAGAAATTTAAATACACCCTGAGAATTCCAAATCATTAAACATGTTACAGTTACAGAAAGTGTCAAAACATGGATATAGCTGGTATCTGCAAAGCTTTTTCTTGTGAGGTGCATCTCTTTTGTTGTATCTGGCCAAGTTGCTTCTGAGAATGAGTTTCTACTTAGAAGAAGCTGAAGCAAGTACTGTGTGTATCTTCTGTAGAAAGAATTCTGGTGAAGCCTTGTTGCTCATAACAGTAGCAGAAATTGAACTTAAGACACTGTTTTTCTTAGAGTATTTTAAATACTCATCAAAATAAACTTATTAGTTTTTCTCATTTGATCCTTTCCACTTCTTGTCTCTATTCTGTGTACACACCTGTTGGTAACTGCTCTCCTCTGACGTTTGTTGAATCACTGAGTTTTAAGTAATCACCAGATTGGTTCAGCAATTGCAGGTGAAGCTCAGGGTAACAGTTTGCTTTGCTTGCTGGCCCTGCTCTTTCAAAGAGAGGGTGTAAGTTCTCACAAGAAGATGCTGGCTGAGTTTTTCTTCATCCTCAGCATAAAATGAAAACCCCTTCAGTTCTTCACGTCATCAAGTCCTTATGTTTTCAATATATTTTTGAGGAGTGTTAATTGAAAGAGGGAAATGCTAATTCTCTGCATAGAAGTGAGCTATAAATCTGAAGAATCTAACAATGCCAATCAGGTGGTTAATGACTGCTGTGTTATAATTAAAAAATTCTATTTCAATGGCTCTAGATAGTTCCTCTCTGATCTGAAAGAAGATCCAGAGTAAGTTCATTTACCTTTCCTTCTGAAGAGTAGATCCCACAAAAAGAAAGGTTTCATTTCTCTCTTACATGAAAAATAGTGTGTCTTTTCTTGGAATTTTGCCAATAATCCTGCCTTCTAGTTTTGTGTGGCTAAAAAAAAACCCCTAAGAATACTGTAGATTTTTGTTTCTGTTTAACTTTATTTTTGTTTTCCCTCTTCACAGCACTTTTGGGGGCCAGTTGCCAACTGGGGTCTTCCTGTCGCTGCTATTAATGACATGAAGAAATCGCCAGAAATTATTAGTGGCAGAATGACATTTGGTAAGACCTGAGACAAACTTCTTGTTTGGAAACTGACTCCAGAACAGTTTCTGTCGTTTAAGTAGTGATATATTATTAGTTGTCTGCAAACTTGTGATCAAAGCAGATGTAGATATCAAATATCTTGTTACATAACTTTAGAGGCCATTTAAATTGAGGTACTGAAAAATGGCAGGGCTCTTTTTTGGAAAGCTTTCCACTAGTTTGGGAGGGGAGAGTGAGGCAGCTCTTGACCCTTAGGAGTTTTCAAGACCAGACTGTCTCCTGAAGTATAACTCCTATTATCTTAAGCTATTGCACACACTTGTTCAAAATGTATATCTTTATTCAGTTTTAATCTTCGTATAAGGAACAATGATCCTTTGTGGTTAGTGTGAGATTTAAATATTTATCAGCACTGACAAAGTGAAAAAATGGTAATGATTGGTCAGCAGGGTGCAGGAAGCAGGAAAGAAGGCTTTAAGTCCTTGCAAAGCAGTTGTCTATGAGAAACTATTGTGACTCTTAATGAGAAATTATTCTTAAATGCATAAGCAGTATTTTTCCACCTCTCTTTGGAACATGTATAGTTTTTGCCTAGATGCCTCCATGTTCAAATTCTTTTCTAGGAGTAGAAATCTTGCAGTTTTAATTTATTAGCTTAACTTTGGCATTACATTGCTTCCTTAATTCACTAAATAACTTAATTGAGTTATTCTTCCCTCAAGCAAAATACTTGCGGCTTAAGAAATTTTATAGTCCCATTATCATTAGGCTCTGTTTAAAGTAATTCAGTCCCTTAATCATCTTCCTTGAGACAGAAGACTAGTTTAAGTAGCTCCAGTACAGCAAAACTGTTTTGTAAATAGTGTTTTGGTGGGAGCTACTCAGCTCAGCAATATTGAGACACCTTTTTAAATTCTTGCAAGTATATATAGTTTGTGTGTACAGAACCTGGGGAATGAAAAGAGAATATTTGTACTTATAAAAAGGCTGTCTTCTTGAACAGTTAGTTTACCAATTTTTTTCTTTAAGCCTGTCAGAACTTTACAAAACTAGGGCATTCTTGAGTTGTAATTTCCTGTATTTAATTATGGTAGGAGAGTAGATCAAAATAGTTTCTCATCTTTCTGGAAAGCAGATAACAAAGCTTCATGTTTCTGAATGTTCATTATTCCCTGGACATTGAAAGCTCCTAATCTTAAAATGTTCCCAGAAAGAACTGTATTTAAGTGATTAGTGTCTTTAAAAATAATTTGTCTTAGAAATTGTCAGAATAATACTATATGACAGACTGTCTCATTGAAATAAACTCTTATTTTCTGGCTGAGATAATTTAGATAAACTAAAAAAAATTAAGTTGCATCACAGGATATTGTATGTGTAAAATAATTTTTATGAAAAGCTGCAGCCATGTAGATTTTATTGTGTAGTAGAAATGAGCACTATTTTATGTTTCTGTGCATTGGAGCCTCAAAGTGGACATGTTTGTAGGGCTGTTGGAAAACTCATAAACAGCAACAAATCTTCTCCCTGTTATTACATTTTACTAGTAGGAAAATTGTAACTAAACAAATTGCAGATATTTACAGTTTCTTAACAAGATCTTATCAAGATCTATCTAATCTATCTTTTGCAGCACTGTGTTGTTATTCCTTGGCTTTCATGAGATTTGCTTACAAAGTGCAGCCAAGAAACTGGCTTCTTTTTGCATGCCATTTCACTAATGAAGTTGCACAACTTGTTCAAGGAGGACGACTGATCAAATACAGGCAAGTCACATTTTTAAATGGGGAAGTCATAAACTGATGGCACCTGCAATACTGTGTTAGTGATTAACTGTGGTGCAAAGCTCTTCATGGTTTCTGAACTTGTTTAACTTCAGTACCTTTTACAAACCTGTGAACAGGCTTGTTGTCAGTAGGCAGAACGTTCTACTTTGCATCTCCTTTGAACCTTCTGAGGTCTGCACATAGAAAAGGCAGGAAGCCCTTGTGGTCATGAGGAAGTGTAGACAGGGCCTTCAGCAGCTGCTGGCTATTTTGGGGTTTTTTGTGCAGTCTGTTGATTTGTCTGCGTGTATCCATCTTGGTAACTAATACCTGAGATGGAAACATCCATAAAACTGTGAAGGAGTTGTATATCTGAAAGAGAAGTTGCACAAAACCTGTCAGTGCTGACTGTTCCATACACGAGGTGGAGCCAACTGAATATGCCTGGGGAACAAACTGTGATCAGTCTCACACCCTTATTGTGTAGCAAGCAGTGCAGACAGACACTGCCCCAAACAATCCTGGTGATCAGGATTATGGGTTTTCTCTCTTCTGCTCCAAGAAATTACTGTGGAGCAATAGAGGATGAAACCTTCTGAAATATAAATTTAAAAATAAGACTGCAAAACTGCAAGTGGGCTTGTCTCTGCTAAGTTACTGACCAATGTCCTTCATTCATAAAGTTTTTTTAATAGCAATTGTATTTCAATATTCACTCTTACAAAAGCTGTTTTCTTTTGGCAGGATGGAGAAAAAGAACTAAATATATTACTTGAAATAAGCCAGGGAATGTATTGATCGTGAATGACAACCAAGGAAGACATGCCATCTACAGTTGCTGTGACAATTACAGTGGGGATGAAACAGAAACACCTATTATGAATATGACCCTACCAAGAATTCTTCTAATAATTTTTTTATCTTGCCTTTTTAAAAGTACTATTCAGCAATGTAAACCATTACATTTAAAGTCTTGCTGCCTTACTGATCTTTAATAACTACCCTTCTAATAAGACATTAGCCACCCAAATAGCAAGCAATATTTGAAAATCAACTTTATCTAAGGGTCTACAAAGTGGCCTGTGATAATTTGACAAAACTCATTTTAAAATCAACATGAACAGAGGTCAGTAAACAGAACTGTAGGTGGTATCATTATGTATTAACATAATCTTAAAAGCCATTTAACTTGAGTGCATTCATTCCTATTCTCTTTTTTTTTTTAACTTAAGCAGTGGCTTGCTGATCTACAAGAACAAATGTGTAGATAGGCAGCCTGGAAGTGAGCAGCCATCCCTCTTCCCTCACTGCATGCCTTTTCTCAGTAAAGAGACTTCATTAACAACCATTTTTATGTCACACGCTATTTAAAGAAGGCTTGGAAAAACAAAAGCATAGCACTGAATGAAGGAAGGCAACAAAGCCTGATTCTGTTCTTTAAGGAATTCTAAGTGAATTTTATTTTTTCCTACTGTTTTAGTTATTCTAGATGTAAGTAATTCTTACACAGGCAAAAACTAAACTTGTTTGGAGTCTATGATCTGAAGGACGTAAAGTGCCTTTCAGTAGTTTTTGACTTCATTGTGAGAATGGTTTTCCTGCATGATCTGCCTGAAAGTCACATTGCTGTAAAGGTAAAATTGACAAAGAATGTGAGAATATATGTTACAGGTTTTTTTTTCAGTGCGGTGTTTTTGAACAATAAACATATTACAAATGGCAATAAAACTCTTGAACACTTGGGAAAGTTTTGTTTTTCATACTGTGATAACAGACCCAAAAGTGTAATTTTATTATTGAGTGTTGCTCATGCAATAGCATGAAGCAAAAATAGGCTCAAAATTAAACAGTATGTACTGAATTAAAGTGTCCTGTGAATCCTAATACCTAAAGCTTCTTCTCCCAGCAGGAAAACATGTAGGTGTACTTAGACTGAGTAGTTGTAGTGTGATGGGCAGGGTTGAATTCAGAGCTCTCATTATGCAGCTAAGTCAGTATTACATATTACCTTCTAGCAATTAGAGCAAGTCCTAATTGACCATCTTCTAATTCTGTTGTGATGCTAGCATTTGTTGATGGACATATATGAAAGAAGCAAATAGGACATGTCTGCTGGATGGCTAAAGCTGGTACTGACTGCTGCTTCTTGCTTTAGAAAAGTTACTCCATAAAGCTGCCCCTTCAACACTGCTGTCTTGTCACAAAAGCAGTCACCCCCCACTCCCTCCCCTTTCTCCCTATCTCCTGGAATAGCAATACTGTTAGACTTCTATGCAAATGAGTAGTGAGACACAAGCAGGTAACAACAGCTGATTATCTTGGCACCTTATAGTTTGTTATATCACTTTTGGAGAGAAAAATAAGCTACTATTGAGTTTGAACTTGGTAGAGGAAATGTGTTATGCTGCTCTTGCATGAAGCTTGCAGTACAAGGCTGTACTCTGCCCTCACTTGATCACTGTTCATTAGCTCCTGATTGTCTTTGCTCCTTTACCCAGAGAATCCCATTTACAAAAGTTCCTTCTCTCATTTTCCTGGTAGTTGCACCATACTTTATTTCCTTCTTTCTTCCCCTTTTCCATTCACTGTGATAAGGCTCAAATTCTTCAATACTGGACTAGAGCAAGAGTGAATTGCAGGTGGAAAGTGGGCTTTACCTTGTTTTGATTAGATATTAAACCAGGGATGCTTCCTGCAGTCCATCCAGACTTAAAAAAGGGGAAGGGGTGGCGACAAAGGCCCATTTTTCATGGGACTTGAAGGGAGCTGGTCCTATTTGGGAAGGGAAATCCAGTATGGGCTGGATTTCCACTGCCTGTTAGTCTGCCTAGTGACAAAAATAGTTTATATGGGCAGAGAGCCACCAAGTGGCTTGTGGCCTGTGTCAGTCAAACCATTAATTATCAAGCTGTTTACATACCACTTCTGTGTTTAAAGGTGCTGGGCGTAAGGGGATCATTGAAATATTATTAAAATGAATTCTTGTAATAAATAACTGTATGATTAGCCTGCATCCTACTCCTCTGGCACGAAACAGCATATGGCTGTTTTAGGAGGGGGCTGCTTGGGATAATCCAAAGAGGGGAACAATAGCTTAAAGAGGACTGGAGATGGTGTATTCTTGAGTTTGAATACCTTAATGGTGCTAATGGCTTCTTTTTGTTCTTTTCTTATTCCCCTCAGGTAGTATCGCATGAAAGAATGAGGCTATGTGAGTTTCACTGATTAATTATAAGTTAGAATTCAGTATTTGCTTTTGATTTATAAGATTATAGGGCTTGTCTGTACTTGCTATTGTTCTGGAATACCTGCTTGGTTTAATAACAATGTTCATCTGTAGGACATGTCCTGTCACTAGAAACCTGTGCTGTTCTGCTCCCAGGCACTGCCCTGTGTGTTCTGCTTCTTGTCTACCACAGTAAAACTGGGAGACGCATGGCCTTTCCTCTCTTGCTGCAGTGGTTACTGCTATAGCAACAGCTGCTATCCTCTTTCATGTCTTCAGACAGAACAGAATTTCTCACCTTTCTGAGCAAGTCCTGCTACACTGCTGGTAAGGAATACAACACCCTTAGGAATTCAAGTGGGAGAGAGTACCAGCTAAGCTCTCTGTCTGTCTGTTTCTTCCCCCTTTCTCCCCAGTTTGAGCTGGAGATGCCTTGAGTCACTTTTGAAAGGGAAGACTTAAGACTATACGACCATGGCATTAAACTAGCTCTCTTCTGCTACTGCAAGATTGAGTGGCCTTGATCTGGAAGCTTGATGATTTATGATTCAAATGTGGGAATAATTTGATAGAATGGTAATTACAGAGAGCAATAACCATAATTGTGTAGTTGGAAGAGAAGGAATTATGCAAGGATTCTTTAACGAGTGTAATAACACCTACTAATAGGGAATTTTGTTCAACCTCATATCATACAACTGTCTCATGCTTTATAATCATTTTAGCCAATGCTGCTCTATATGGGTGGTGGAGTTTTTTTTTTTTTTGGGGGGGGGTTGTAGTTTATTTTGGTTTGGGTGGTGGTTGGGTTTTTTGGTAATTTTTTAGCTTTGCTTTGGAGGATTTTTACTTCTAAGACTTCTATAAAAAGTGAATGTTCCCTACTCTAAAACCAGCAGAAAATTCTCTTGGCCCCAGTGCTACCAATACAGCCTGCCAGCTCTGAGAGAAAACACACTCATAGTAAAATGTAGTTCTCCTTAGAATTGAGGGTTACCTTTTGTTCTCCGTACAAAGCCACAATGGTGTCATCTGAGCAAGGACAGCACAGCAGAGAATTGGGTGGGGAAAGTCTCAGTAAGTTTAGAGACAGAGGAGGCAGTAAAAAAAAAATAGGGTTTTCTCCTTGGGACCAAGACAGGCTTTGACATGGAAATAAAGTGCTTAGAAAATACAGTCCTAGATTAGGACAGACCAGTCTTATAACTACTCCAGTGTTTTCCCTTGCATGAATGCTGGTACAAACTCTATTATGGTCAAACTAATATGTAGAGCATCAAACTACCAAATGCATTTACTTCAGCTGTGTGTGTTTCCAGTGTACATGTATCTGTATTACACAGGTAGCAGTGCAGACACAAGTTATTTCTTTACCTGTCAGTTATAAGAATGTGAAGGCACTCAAAAAGAGCAGGAATAAAAAGATGAGATAAAGACAAGTAATAAGATAGCCTATTAGAGTGATACGTTCGTATCACTTATTCGAAAGCCTTTAATGAATACAATCTGTTTCTTCATGCTCATGTGACAGACTTCAAAGTTAGCAGTAAAATATAAAACAGTAATACAGGATATATTCACAAGCATAGTTACCATCTCTCTTACGCTTTCAGCCTGTGTCTCACAGGGTGTATTGGTCCTATCTGTATTTGGGGAAGAACAGTGCTCACTGCCTGATGCAATATGACTGCAGTTCTGCTTCTCTAGAGCTGGAGTATTTCTGCTGCCAACTTACACAAAGGCTAAAAGGTTTGTTCTGATTGAGCAAGACATTGCTGCAAGTTTTACAATCTCTATAAAGTAGAAAAACAATCAGTCTGGTGTTTAAAATGAGGCAATTTCTTTATTAAATTAATTATGGAGAAGTCTGTCTCTCCCCACCCAATCCATCTGCCTCTGCAGATCTAATACCTAGTAGTGCATTGCATTTAGTCACTGTGGTAACCACTTAAAAATAACCAATGTCCATGGAATCAAATCAATGGCAGCCAGAAGGCAGAAATATTGGTTTTATGGATAACCTGCTCTGAGTGTCTTCACTGGGGTCCTACTCCTTCCAGATCCTCTATCACATGTCCTAAGCCTGACCATGATATTGCTCTCTTCTTTTCCTACTTTTCATCCTTTTCCCTTTCTTCCCACCTTCTTTAACAGCAGGTTTCAAGTAACTATGGCAACAAGGCTAGGAATTTTCCACTAATTTGTTTCGTCTGAAATCTGGGTCATGTCTTTCTCATTAAGTGAAACTTGTATGGAGATAACTGGTCTAAACCCAGCCTTTGGTGCAAGAGAAGGCAATGTCAGTTATGGCAGCACTTACATGTTGGCTGTATTTGGTCCATTGTGTTAGAAAGATGTAAAGGTACAAAGTAAGCCACTTAAAATTTGGAAAGTATTTAATAATTTTGAAAGCATTTAGTACCTAACTTACTCAGGGGACAACCATTGCTGTAACTTGCTCTAATTGATGTTGATTTATAGTCTGATGGGAATAATTTCATATTGTGTTTTTAGTCCTAAGGTATATGTGTTGTTTTGGCCACAGAGAGCTAATAAAGGCTTTTGCCTTTCCCTCCAAAGCATTGCAATAGCTCACAGTGTTCCTGTGAATCATACACATACCTGGCTACTACCAGGTGCCTGCCAAGCACATTCGGAAATAGCTCGTCTGTAGCTGGTTTTTGTATGCCTCAGTTTTCTACATCAGAGACCTATGAGAGGTTATTTTGTGTCACTAGAGAACTGATGACTAGATCTGGAAAGGTTTGAGTCACAGCAGAAACAATCACCATTTGGCCTGTGACTTAGGCTGATCTGCAGACAAATGAAGAGATGGGTTTCCTGAACTGTAAGAGATGAGATAGCTTTTTCAGCTTTTGCTTCCTTGTTCCTTGTTTTAGGATCACCACTACCTGTCACTGTCAGCAATGCAGGCTTGTTGGAAGATGTTCATAGTTGCATTTTCAGAAGCAGAGGATCTTTTCAAAATATACAAAGGGCATTCACTCCCCACTGCTAAGCTCCTTTTTCTTCAGAGGCCTTCAGAAGCTGCTGCTTTGTGTAATTTGAGCTGTTTGCACCACACAGCAGAATTGAGGTGGAGTGTCATCAAGTGGAATAGGCAAATCCCCAAAGCAGCTCTACATTTTGTTTTCTACCATGTTCCCAGTAAGTCTCTGTAGGACTGTTTCTTATAACCCCTGATCTTAACCTTTCAGCAGTATTCATTCAAACATCCCATTTCCAAACATAAAAAATGCAAGGATGGGAGGGATACAGGACATAAGAGCCCTACATTATGACCAGAGCAATCACAGAACTGTTATTTTTATGGAATAAGTGTTTACAGGTTTATAGCTGTTAGAGCTACAAGACTGAAGTGTACAGATACTGCTTTATGTACATTAGAAGTATGCCACCAACTGCATCAATCCAGTAAGTTGGCTGAATTCACACATTTTTCAAGAAGACAACATTACCTAGCAGATTTTCTAGTTAGCTTCAAATTTAGATGCAGATACACACAAACAAGTAAGGTCAAGAATCAATGAAACTTGTAAGCAAACCACGCCATCCCTTATGAACAGAGAAACTGAGAATTGCAAATCCATAACACTATCATCATAAAACCAGAGAAGATCTTCAGATGTGGTAGCTTTGTGATCTAAAGGCAGTATGATACTTTGTAGCAGCTATTTTGACTTGTGTTAGGGAAATAATTTGATCTTTTTAGAAAAGCAGAGTAATTTTTTCATCCTGCCTTATCAGCTGAAGTTCATCAGCATGGAAACACTGAACATAGGCCTTCCAAACTGCCTCTTTTTCATGCAAGGTAATGACTGTCTCATGGTATTCCATGACAGTACAGAGAATTAAGAATTTCTGTTGAGCAGAGAAACTAGGAAAAATACATTTGGGGTGACTGTGGCAACCTTCTGCTCAAGAAAATAGCAAGGAAACAAAAAACACCCTTTGCCCCATTCAGAAGTGAAACAGCTGTGGGTTCCAGGCGGGCTACAGGTGGGAAGAGACGAAAGCAGTAGAATTCAAGCTGGATGCCTCACACTGCCCACATGTGCACTACTCTTCTCTGTGCACTTCTTCAAACAGAAACAACAAAACAGCTTCAGCTTGCTCTCTGCCAGGTGCTTACCTGCCTGTACTCCCTATACTACCAGAAAGTCACCAGTAATCCAAGTCACAGCCAACCACTCCTGCTTAAAGACATGTAGACCAGGTTAGACTCAGATTTCAATTTTCTGCATCTGCCCATATCTATCTATAAAATGGGAGGGGGGAAAAAAAAAAGATAACTTTCTTGGTTTTATATTTTGCTCTTATATATGCTTTGGAATTAAAACTTTTGTAACAAATAATTTTGTATAATTCTGGGGGCTACTAAGGATGATTTGTGCACACTCAGACATACCCTCATATACCCTCTCCATTCTTTCTCCCATTTCTCCTCCCCTTCTTGCAGGGCTATGGTTATGTTGTTCCCTTACACACTGTCCTCCCTGCACAGGTCCTCACAAGGTATGAGCAATGCTGCCTGGTTCAGGTGACATTCTGCGGCTCTTTGGTTACTTTCATGCAGCCATGTCTACAAGTGTTTCTTTCATTACTAATTTCAGCCTTGACCTAAAGCTTCCTGTGATGCTAATGGCCTGTTATCAGGCTGGAAAGGTACAGTTTGTTCAAAGTGTTTCACCTAAAAGCCAAGGTAGAAGACACATGGGAAACTTCCTAAGTGTGTGTGAGAAGGGGAGGAGGGTGGGAAGGGAATGTTTCCGTCCTAAGGGCCTCACTGGGGCTTTGCTGCTCTGGCTTTTATCAAGTTTCATTCACACAGCAGCGTGTTACACAGCACTTATCACCCATCTCTCTCTCCTGTCCCAGCCCAACGCAGCTGCCTGCTATCACTTTGCATGTGACACCTCGATCCTTTCCTCCAGCCAGCAGCCTCATTCTCCCTGCAAACGACCCAGGCCAGTGGTGACGTGTTGGTTCAAGGGCAGACACACACATAAACAGCCCCAGAGGACACACAGAGTCAGCGTCTGAACAGAGCAGGACAGGGAGACTTACACGGAATGACCAGGATTGAACAGGGCAGATGGAGGATGGAGTGTTGCTGGGATCGCGCAGGCAAAGCGAAGACACCGGGCAGCGTGGTGGCATCTGCCCCACCCCTTCCTACAGGGGCAGAGTTTAACGGGGCCACACTGGGAATCTCTGGAGCAAGGTGTGAACACCTTCTCTGCAATCCCATTTCTCCCCGCCCAACCCATTCTAGCTGGAAGAATACCTGGCTTGCTCACAAGTGGGCGCTGGGCGCCTCGGGCAGCCCCACTTCCCGGAGCTGCTGGCGCTGCGGCTCGCAGCGTGCCTGCGGGCTGGCAGCGGGTGACTAAAGCCCGGCCGCCTGCCCGTGCCCCTGAACGGCCGGGCTACGGCTGCTCGCACACACGCTGCTCAGGGTCATCCGAGAGCGCGCGGCACAGGATCGCATCCAGATGGTTCTTGGACACGTCCACTGAGGGAGACTACACAACCTGTCGGGGTAATCTGTTCCAGTGCTAGGTCGCCTGCACAGTAAAGACAACTGTCCCGTATTCAGCTGGAACTTCCTGTGTATCATTTGGAGCGCCAGCCTCTGGCTTGGTGGTGCCAAGCAACAGGACCACAGGCAACGGGCAAAAACTGATGCTAAGGAAGTTCCACCTTTACGAGGTACCGCGTGTCCCAACGCGGTTCTACCAGGGCGCTGCGTAGCCGCGGTGCTGTGTTCTCTCTCCTGTGTTCATCGCGCTCATGCAGATCACGCTGCCACGGGAAGGCCGGTTCCGCGGGCGGCGATGGAGCGGGGTCAGGCTGAAGAAGCCCTTCTTCCTCCCGGCGCCTCCAGCGAGGGCGGCACCGCGGCTCCCTCCCTGCCGCGCCCGCGGGACTGCGCAGGCGTGGCCCCGCCGCCGCCGCCGCGGGGCGCGCGTCACTTCCCGGCTGGGCCGGCGGCCCGCGGCGGAGCGCGGCCGCGTCCCGCCCATCCCGACCCCCGGCATGGAGAAGCTGCGGCGGGTGCTGGCCGGGCAGGACGATGAGGAGCAGGGACTGACGGCACAGGTACGGCCCGGCGACAGCCCGCTCTTCCTCCCCGCCCCGGCGCGGGGTCGAGCGGCGCTGGAGCCTCCCCGCGCTGGGCCCGGCCCGGGGCCCGTGGCTCGGAGCTGCCCCCCCGTTCCCGGCGCTGCCCCCCGTTCCCGGCGCTGCCCCCCCGTTCCCGGCGCGGAGGCAAAGCAGGCAAAGCAGAGACCAAAGTTTGCGGCGTGCGCCGAGGGACGAGGGCTGTGGGCAGCAGGCTCTGCCCGGAGGATGAGTTTTGGCGAATTGGTCTTGTGTGAAGCTTTTAGCTGTGTTGGTGCCTTGCGGTCCTTCGATTTCTACAAGTTTTTCCTGTGCATAAGCAGGGAGCAGATAACATACTGTGTTCCTTTCCAACCCGACTGAATCTGTGATTCAGTGTAATTTGCTTCTCCATTCCCTTAAGTCCTTAAGTTTGCAGAAAAAAGGTTTGTTTAGACAAAAATCGTTTTGTGTATATTCTGCTGAAGTAACTTTTTGCTCTTTACTCCTTAACTATAGTTTAATTTTTCTATTTCCTTCCCACTGGCTTCCTCATCGTCAGCAGTTTTTTTGTTTCGCTTTTACTGTGTTTGAAGACTATTCATTCCTGCCAACTAATCTCCAGGTTGAAGCAAAGCTGAGCATGCTTACAAAGGACCATTTATTCCTTTAGCTCCCTCTTAACTCATGTGACTGCAGGTCAAAGTGCCCCACATCAAGGAATATCTTGCTGCTGCTTGCTACTTCCAGGGTTCTGGAGCATGCTGGAGGAGGAGGCTGGAATGTAGCTGGGATCTGAGCTGTGGCTAACAAACCTTGGCAAACCAGCACAAGCTGAGCATAGCTGGCATAATATTAGTTGTAGCAGCTTGCTGCTGGCATGCTTCATTTAGTTTTACACTGAGTTGCCGTTGGTCTTCAAGGTTCATGAATTTGGCCTCTCTTCCACAGCAAAGCACCTAAATTGTGTCCACTGATCCTGAAAGCAGTGTAGAATCTGTGCCCTTTCACACCAGAACTGGCTGACAGCATTTGGGAGGGATACTTCACCTTCTGCTCTTCTCAGGGTTATCAAAGAAATACTTACATTTCTCTTAATCTCCGTTCAGTTCTAAGAGAATTGATTATCCTGCTGTCAGGATAAGGCACATTTCACGCAAGGCACATGATAGTGACATAGAGTTTTCCTTTACTTGCTGCTGTGATAGTTGTTTTAAAGTGCCAATCAGTAGAAAAATGCCTACATATTTAATGCTCTTATATTTGAGTTTTATATGTTTAGGAGAGAACTGAGCTAAGAATGTGTTTCATTTGTTAAATGTCAGTAATTAAACTATACAGGATATCACTATTGCATGTAATGGTACTGTTATAGCCAGAAGAGACTTTAAATAAGAAAAATCTGCCTATACTTAAAGCCTGTCTGGTACATGATAGAAGAAAACTTATAAATGTGTCTTTGGACCTTCATGCTGAGATGAACCAGAAAGATATTTAAAATAAATAAATACCCCTTGCCTTAAAAAAAAAAAAAAAAAGCCAAGTGTTTAGGTCAGGTAGTTTCTTAGCTGTAATTTTCTCTCAAAGTAGCAATGTGTTTGTAGAACAGTGGAAATCAAGCCTCTCTTTAGAGAGGAAATTCATATGTGACATTCACTAAAGCTAGAGCTGAGTGGTGCTGACTATTTTTAAAGTGTGTGTATTAAAGCAAAAAAAGTATGTGCACCCATGCAGAGAGGAACACTTGGTAAGAGATGGGGCTGTGAAAGAAAAGTGTGAGAGGTTATGCATTATATGTGTAAAACCTTCAGCTGTGTCCATGATCTTTCTGGAGACAAGTCATGTGTTTGGCTGAAAACAAAGGCCCTCTCTTTGGAATATCTAATAGTTATGTAATAGCCATCATATGGTTCATGTCCATAGATATATCTGGATTCTTTCCCTTGCTTTTTTGCAGAACCATTATCATGAAGTCACAAGTCATTCCTGCTAAGTAGAAGACAAGTCTGTAATGAAAAAACTGTGTGATGATTCAGTGAAATCTTTCTGTACTTTCTAAACTCTTCAGATGACCAGCTGCTGTTTCTTGATGCAGTTAGATCCATTATTCTTTTTAAAAAAAGGAATTAATTACCAAAAAGATCAATAATAAATAATAAATGTAGCAGTGCTATGATGTTTTCAGAGCAGCATTATGCTGTTATTTTTATCAACACTAAAACTAATGTAAATCAGTCTGTGTGACACATTGGATGTTGCATGACAGCTGACAGCTGCTTAAAGCACTCAATAAGATTTCACTAAAGAGATATAGACCAGGTATTTATTATATTTTTATAATAAATTTTATATTACATATAGTAATTGCATTTCTTGTATTTAATTTATGTTACACTTGTATTTTAAACTCAACTGGTGCTAGAAATACATATAAGGAGACTTGTTAGGGAAAGATGAGAATATAGCTCTATAAATATTTTTTCACTATGGTTTAGAAACTAAATTCTGCAAATTTACTCAGCATTCCTTTGAATATTCTCTATGATTTGTATATTTACCATAGATAAAAGATGTAATTGTTAACTTCTAGATTAGTAAAATAAAGTGGTTTTGTTTTTCTGTTTGCCTACATGGAAAACTGTTACAAGATCATTAATATGTGGGGGGAACCTACGTGGATGTTCAGAGCCACAAGAACTATTTTTGATCAAAAGCAGTCTTGTGGATTATCATTCATACTGTGTATTGTGTGTCCAGTGCAAACTCTTTAGCAGTGGTGCTGTTATTGCAAGCCTGTGCCTTATGTTTCTGAAAGTCTTCATTCCAGATTCCAGTTGCCACTTAGGGTTTCCTCTTTTTTTTGGATGTCTTGGTCATTTCTTTCATATACTATTAGCTTGAATAGCCTGTCAATAAAAAGCTTTTACTTCTTGCCCAGGAGTTTGGCATTAAAATTTAGCAATCGAAAACTAAGGATTTCCTTTTGCTGCTTGCAGTTTAATTTTTTCCTTTTCTTGTTAGAAGCAAGCTGATAAGCAGTATAGCAATAAGGGCATGTTTTACAGGAACTCCCTTCCCAACACTAATGTTCTCCACACAGACTACAGATGTGGAACAGGCCTGGAAATGTTTTCAGTCTCCTAAGTAAAAGCTTTTGCTAATGCAAATACCGTAGACTGCAATGGCAACTCTTTTTATCTGAAATCTGGGATTAGCTGTATAATTTATGTCAGATGCACAAGAAGAATCTTTAGCACTGTTGTTTCCTGCTTTTGTTGCAAGGGCAGCTTAGACTTCCTTTTTCTTAGGCTTCATAGTCCCATGGTCCCTAGTATAGAAATTACTGCCTGCAGCATTTGTGGCAGGGCTCCTGCAGTGTCAGGTCCTCAGCTTCTAGAGTGAACCAGGCATTTGAACACAGGCTGGTGTCTGTGTATCTGTAGCTCAACTTTTGCAGCAAGGTGCTTCTCTGCAGTGTTGAAACAGGCATCTTGGAAAGGCAGTGAGTTCCATTGTTTCAGTAAAACCCAAGAAATACAAACTGTAAAATATCCTGACATGGAAGGGACCCACAAGGACCATCGAGTCCAGCTCCTGGCTCTGCACAGCACCATCCCCAAGAATCACACTATGTGCATTGTTCAAAATGCTTCTTGAGCTGTCTCAGGCTTGTGCTGTGACCACTGCCCTGGGAGCCTGTTCCAGTGTCCAACAACCCTCTGGGTGACGAACCTTTTTCTAATATCCAGTCTAAACCTCCTTTCACAGTTTCAGCTGTTCCTTCATGTCATGTCACTGGTCACCACAGAGAAGTGATCAGTGTCTGCCTCTCTGCTTCCTCTCATGAAGAAGCTGTAGACTGCAATGAGGTCTCCTCTCAGTCCCTTGAAGTATTAGGGACTAAGAAAATTCATTACCAGATCCCAGTTTCATTATTTCAAACTGTTTAAATAGGTTCAGTTTGACAAACATAAATGGTGACATCATTGGGAATGGTTGGAAGGATGAGCCTTCATTTTAATACCATTTAATGTATTTAGTCTTATTAATGCACAAAATGATCTGGCAGCCTTCATGCCACAGCTTATCTTCCTGTAGTTAATGTGCATATATTGTCAATCAGTTTTTAAGAGTTAAATCCATAAAATTTATCAAATTTTCTGGGGTTTGTGGTATTTTTTGCTCCAAGCCTTTGTGTGGTTCTCTTATTCCTTGTGCTGTTTTTTGTTTTTCTTTTTGTTTTTTTTTTTTTTTTTTTTTTTTTTTTTTTTTTTTTTTTTTTTGTTTTTTTTTTTAAGGCATGATTGAAATGGGCATCTTCAGCTGTGTGCTACCAGCTATTCCTACTCTTCTTAAAAATGTAGGCATTCAGGACTCTTGACTACCAAATATGATTGAAACTACAAAATCATTTTTCAGTTACTGTTTTTATCTGTTTCTTTAATGCATACATAAGGATAAAGTGTTGGACCTGGCAAGGTAAGTGGCATCTTCTGACCTCACAGCACCTTTATGTGTATGTGCATGTGGCAGTTTTTGATTAAACTTGATACAGTTTCCTCATTTGTACAGAGGTGAAATTGTTCTAAGCAGTAATCAGATTTTCTTGGTTAGCTTACCATGGCCTGAAAAGGAAATTTCTCAAGAGATAAGGAGAAATATCATACTGACTGACTGGGGAAGGTCTGTCATGTATATTTGGTTAATAAGTCTTGACTAAAATACCTGTTGACTAGATAACAAGAGAGCAAGTTTGATGTGACATCTGAACAAATAGGAAAGTTGTTTTTTTAAAGTAATTTTATGTAAACTGAAACAACACTTCAGTTAATAGGCCGGTTTAGAACAGAATGTACATTTAATTGTAGTGACCTGGAGTAAGATGAAATGCATTGTTCTTACAGCATGGGTGGAGTCGAGCTGAGCGTATCTAACAAATCATTTCTGCTGAAAGGGGGCCTTTCTGCCAGATACATGGCCCTGCTTCTTTCCTTACATCAACCCTGCTGCTTTTCTGACAGCTTGCAGAGCTTGCTTGGCTCATTAGCCAGATCATCGGAATAGAGGGAACCCTAATTCTGCTCTCATGTCAGGAGTTGTGTCAGGTAGCACTCTGGAGAAACAGGAAGTGAAATATTCCCTTTCAGCAAGTTAGCTTAGTCTGATGAGACAAACTTTGTTAATCCTATACCTTCACAAAGGTAATTGGAGGAAAAATTAGAGTTGTAATGCTTGCAGTGAATACTGGCATTAATATGTACAAGGGATCGTCACTAGTAATAGGGGAAGGTGGTAATGTCTATAGGAACGTACAGTGTTGCACAAATGGATAAATTCCTTTGCAAATTCCTGGAAGGTCCATTTATTCTTTTGATTTAGTACAATTGTGGCTATTTTCAATTGTGTGGTAATTAAAAAATTAGTTTGAAAGTGAAGCAGCATTGCTTGTATGCCAGGATATATCTTTTACGGGTTTTGTCTTTTTTGTTTGTTTGTAAATAACGTTTCCATGTGTTCCAGATTGATAATATGATTTTGTAATACGAAAGAGTTCATATACAATTTCCAGCTAAAAATAATTTTGTTTGAAATTAAGGACTTCAGTGGTAAATAAAAAAATGTCCTTTAGATTGTTCTAGACTGGGTTTGTAATTTCTTTTTCCTTCCTTCTTATTAAGGTCCTTGATGCCTCAACACTCAGCTTTGGTACTCGAGTCAGATGGTTTGCCATATGCTTTGTTACTGGCATTTTGTGTTCTTTTCTTGTAAGTAAGCTTATTTTTTTCCTTGCACTTTATTATTGTTCTACAGTTGAACCTCATTCATATTCCTATTTTATGTGTGATTCTGTGTTTGCTTTATCCTGCATTCTAAATTTTGTGTGTATTTATTTAACTGGACATTAAATGTGTAATTGGCTGTTGATCTCTAAATTATGATTTTGGCCATTTTTCTTCCAATTCAGAAGTGAGCATTTTTACTGTAGGATAATACATTTTCATGATTGGATATTGACAAAATATGGTCTATTTTTGTAACTGGTGTATTAGGAAAGAGGTGTGTACCCATCTTATTTTTTTCATCCAATAAAAGTTAAAAATAGGGAGGAAGCTTGAAAAGTTTTTAAAGGCTGAAGAAACCACAAGTATAGCATGTCACACTCAACAAATCAATAGGTGTGGTTGTGTGTTGACATTTGAAAAACCTGCTGCACTCCTTTCCAGTCAGCAAATCATGAGTTCATTCATGGACTTCAGGGGCTGGCAGGAGTCTGCAGCCTGCAATTAAGAGTTGAAATCTATCAATTACCTGGTTCTGTCAAAATCTGAGACAGGTAACTTGCACAAGAAGGCAGTTTTTCAGCTGCATGGAAACTCCCAGAAATAGCTGAAAAAATATTGGGGAACTCCTTTTCCTCCTTCTCACTTTTCTTTCTCCCACCCCTTTTCCTCCCTCCCTCTTTCTTCCTCCCTCTTTTCCCTTTCTTTTCACTGTAGATTTCCACGGAAATTGTGTAGAATGCAGTTGCTTTTTGTTTGGTTGGGTTTTTTCATGACACAGTGTGCAAATCACAGTTTGTTTTGCTTCTGGTGGGGGCTTTCTTTGGGCTCTGGCAGGCTGAGAAAGTTGGAGTACTCTGTACAGCACTCTGTACAGCCTGGAGGAGAGAAGGTTGTGTGGAGACCTCATAGCAACCTTCCAGTATCTGAAGGAGGCCTACAGGGAAGCCAGGAAGGGGCTCTTCATTAGGAGCTGTAGTGATAGGACAAGGAGTAATGAGTACAAATTGAAAACAGGGATATTTAGGACATAAGGAAGAAGTCCTTTATTGTGAGGCACTAGAACAGGTTGTCCAGAGAAGTTGTGGATGCCCCATCCCTGGCACTGTTCAAAGCCAGGCTGAATGGGGCTTTGAGCAGCCTGGTCTAGTGGGAGGTGCCCCAAGCCTCTGGCTCTGGTAGTTGTATCTAGGTGATCTTAAAGGTCCCTTTCCTAGGATTCCTTTTCTCCCTGATCATCATAGGGAGCTGTGATCAGCAGAAGACTTTGTATTTTTTAAAGTTCAGTGGAAAGAAGAGATATCTGGAAGTAAGAGTTCTAAAATGTTTCTGTTCAGCCTCAGTGTGTATTTAGGCTGCAAGTCTAAATGGTTGTTTGGAGGAAAAAGGAGATGGTGAATATTAGTGCAGCTTTATGACATTTTATCTTGTGTGCAGAGATGTAGAATGTACAATGGGGCATTGTAACAAAAGTGGAAGTGTTGTGAAATAGGGTATAAACAGTACAAATAAATGTGATCAGTAATATAAATAAACTGCCTAGTTGTAAAAATATCCAGAAATCCAGTGAACCAACACATTGTTTGCCAGCAGGTGGCAATAGAAGTGTGCTGGGTGGTGACTGCTGCAACTCTGAGAGCAGAGTGCTCTCCTAGTGTATGTCAGAAATATGTTCTTCATAATATGAAGTTGTATGTATAGACTATAAAATCTAAATAAATTGAATTAACGAATTGCAAACATGCCAATAACCTGTCTTTTATAGGGAACAGCATTGCTATGGCTCCCAAAGGGGATCAAACTTTTTGCAGTGTTCTATACCCTGGGAAATATTGCTGCTCTCGCCAGGTATGGTTTCTTAGTTATTGGTTTTAAAAGTGTACCCTCCTTTTCAGCTACATTTCCATTTGCTTTTACTCCAGAGTGCTATGTTGTGTGTAAACAACATTGTTTTATATTGAATGCTAATAACAAAACTTGTTTGTTTCACAGTTTTATTGTTTATCAGTTACCTTACATGCCTGTTTGTGGGTGCTTGACAATTTGTTCAGTACTTCATATCTGAAGTATGAATAACAAATTGCTAGCTGAATGTTTTGTACTTTTTACATCCAAGTCCTTCTGCCAGGTACAGAAGTACCTCAGCTTCAGGAGCAAACTGGTAGTCTGACCTCTGTGTGGATACTTTGTTAGTGGAAGGAGCTTTTTGCTTTTAACAGAGAGATCATCCTGTTTCCAAGAAAAACTTTCAAAAAGGAAACATTCAGGAAATCCTTGTTTTCACTATAAGGTTGAAGGCAGAATCTAAAATTTGCTCATAGTGTATTTTTAAACTCTCTGATTCTTTGAAATGTTCCACATAACAGTCCTACTAAAAGATTTGCCTTCAATTGTGGAACCATTCCATCTCATACTAAAACAAGACAAAAAGTTAATACTGGAGATAGGCAAAGCTAAATGTTTGCCTGTCTCTCCCTTATTTTACTCTTTATTCTTTGTTGTTGGTTTGGGTGAGGTTTTTTTGGTTGTGTTGTTTTTACCTGGTACTTTGAGTGTGTTTTCAGTTCTTCAAATTAAATGAGCATTTTAGAAACTTAGTACTAATTAAGCCTCATTGAGTTAAGAGGAAAGTTTTTGCAGACCAGTATTTCTTTTGGGAGAATGCTGAAAAACTTTAGTCTGCACTCCAGCTAAAATTAGAAGAAAAAAGAGGCCCATTTATCCTTCAGTACTGCTTTTGGATATAAAATACAAGTAACTGTCTTCTAAGAACAGTAGGAGATGACAATGAAGTCCCAAATTGACAAGCAGATTTAAACTTTTCCAATCTTGTTTGCAAGTCTGTATTTAAACCAAAATGCAGTTACCATTCTTACTAGCTTGTTTAGTGCCCTCTAGCTTGTTTTTAATGTTGTTTTCTAACCATGGACATGAAAACAATTATACTTACTTGATTGTTCTCAGGGATGGTGTGTCTCTACAGAATGGTGTATCTAAAAGAATTATTCTGTTTAACTGGAGCATGTCTAGAATTTTTTTCCAGCCTTTCTTTCTGCTCCATATTCCTCTTGTCTCTGGAGCAGCTCTTGTGATGTCGGTCTTCTTAATATGAATCAGATTACAAACAGTGCATTTTGTTTTCTATATTTTTTTCTGCCTATTTCATGTGGCCAAAAGTTAATTCCTTTTTACTACTATATTTTCCTCATCCCTATCCTTCCACTAGCTAATTAGTATTTTCTTCTAGTTATTCATGTCCCCTTTTCTTTTGTCATAATTTAATTTTATGGCTCAGCAGACAAGATGAAAAAATACTGAGAATAAATTAGTTTGGATTACAGTGAATATAACACTTTTCTTTTGCTATTAAATTGTGAAAACTTTTTTTTCATTTAATTTGGACATTTGACGTCTGTCTGCATAAGATAAAAAAAAAGTGAAGGAGATAGATGTGCCAAGTTGCTGGTAGGAGCACATTTGGATGTGGAAGATTGAGTTCTATTGACTGCCTGGAAAGTGAATTCCCATATTTCATCTGTCCTAGAAGGCTTATGATTGGTTTCAGGAGGAAACTGTCAAACTCTTCCCTGCTTCATTTCATATAAAAATTAATTACTAGAAGAGAAGTTAGACTAGATTTTCTTCTCTGTAGTAAAGCAGACCACCACAAGATTATAGGCATTTGAACTCTCTCATTAAATTGTTGTGTTTTCTACAAAGCAGAAGGACAAGGAAGAAAGATAATCATCTCAAATATTTGAAGCCAGCGAAAAACTCCTGAGGTTGTGAACTCTTAGTTCAGATGGCATTTCTTTGCACAAAAAGGTACAGCTTGTGGTCTTGCTGATGGTTTTCATTCTCCCTTCAAGTTAACTACAGAGTAGAAAAAAGCAGGAGGATTAATACAAACTACTGAACTTTTTCCTGCCTTTTTTCTTGCTGAGTTTGACTAAAGGAAGTAGAGCTTCCCTGTAACCTTGATTGTAGCTACATGCATCCTGCCTGGGTAAAAAAAAAAATTATAGTTAAACAAAAATTTTCTACAGCAGGTTGGTCTTTGTAATCTTGACATTATTTTGGCAAGTTAGTTGTTACAATAGCTTCAACACAAAATTCACTAGACTTCAACTTGATAACACTGCTACACTTATAATGTTTTGTTTTGGTAATGTGAAAAGCTCTAACCACATATTTGTTCCCAGTATCTTTCCTGAAATCTTGGATATGATCTCATGTACTTCTGCAGTTGAGTTTTCTCATCTTTTTTTTTTTTTCTGTCTATTATGTTGCTTGCCATCCTAAAATAACAATCATCATAACAAACATCTTTGACCACCCACCCATCTCTAAATTCATGTAGAGCTACTTATAGTCATTGTTCAATCTCCCCCCGTTTAGTATCTCTTAAGATGATTTAAATTTAACTGTAACTGCAATGCTTTCTTAATCATCTTTATTTTTAAATGACATTCAGTCCCATCAAACAGATTATTAGTGGAAATAAGTTTTTTCTTATTTGATGAAAGAGTTCATGAAAACTGATTTTCTTCCATGCTCTTCTGTTATTCCTTAAGTATATCCTTGTCACACTCTGTCCTCTCTTATCTCAACCAATATAAGTGTTCTTGTATTTGCCTGTTACTTTTTTTCACTATGGTAATATTTTGGAAAGAATTTTGTGACCAAGGGTGACTCATGGAGGGCTAAACTCATGCAGCATTTCACCTTCTGTTCTAGTTAGTCTCTGTTGCTAAGCACTGAAATATCTTTTTTTAAAGCCTTTGTAGTCTTCTATCTGTTGGAAAACTTGCTAATTACCTACTGTCTTTTAGAAAGAGTTATTTGAAAGTGATTTACAATTTGTTTTGGTTTTTTATCTCCTATTAGTACATGTTTCCTGATGGGGCCACTGAAGCAACTGAAAGCAATGTTTGATCCAAAACGATTAATAGCTACGGTTGTGATGTTGGTAAATATACTGTCTTTCTTTCCTTTTATTAAAAAGTTTTCATTTAGCTTCAAAGCTAAATTTGATGCTTTTCTAAAGGGAGGTTATTTCTCAATCGGCCTCTGCCTTCTGCAGAGAAATGACAGTCAACCTGTTAAGCTCTGTATGTCAGAAAGATCATCTGGCTCCTTTCTATGAACATGTGTGGTTTTGTTGTTTAGGATTTTTTAATTAATCATTTGGAGTAGAATGTTCCTTACAAAATATTTTTTACTAAATGATAATGGCAGGTTAATTATTTTTAATTTATTTTCTAAAATATTTTCTTCAAGAACAAGGGAAGAGACTTTTTTACCTATTGTGGAAAGTCAGTGGCCACCAAGTGTAGCTTGACAGTTGTTTTTTGGCTGCAGCTTGGTCTGTAAAGGTCAGAGGTTCAGCACTTTCAAAGCAATGGAGAAAATTAATATATTTCCCCAAAGTCTGGGACCCTGGCTCCTTTATTTTCACAACCATCATTTCTTCTTCCAGAAGGATGGAAAAAAATCTCCCCAGTATCAGAATTCCTATCCCAAAACTCTATATTGGGTATTTAAAACAACTTTCTCCCCTTGCTGCTTCTATGTTTAATACTTTTCTCTCTTGCTCCCTACTGATCTATTTCAACTTTGATTTTTGAAATGTAGTTGGCTTTCCTATTCTCCCGATCATATAACTTGTTTGTCTAGTTTAGTGAGTAAGAAAGTCTTCATAAAGTCTTTCTGGATAGCTGTCATATGGAGGTTGCATGTTCTTCCTCTCACACACCTACATAAAATATAGTTACAATCTCATTTGAGAAGATTACATTTGCCCCTGAAGTCACTTGATCAGTGCTTGGACACCAAACTTTGTTCAACAGAGGTTTGTTTTGTTTTGTTTGAGCGTTCTTGTTTTGTTCTGTCACTATTTTTGACTCATACCAAGTTACAAGTCCTAGGAGGGTTACACTTTGTAGGCATGAATTAAAAATGTCCAAGAATATCTCCGGTTCTCCTAGAGCCTGTATTTGCTGAGCATAAATTTTCTAACACCTTATAGCTGTGGGCTTTTTCCAATGAAACTGAGAGCCTAAGCCAGACACTTAAAACAGCAGGCACAAAAATCATTTTGCTCTGATGATCCTGTTATCCACTGTGCTCAGACATGGTGACAAAGAAAATAACTCACTTTGAAGGCTGTAAAAACAAAACACATCAGGGAAATGGAAGGAGAACAGAGAGCAGAGCACACATCAGAGACCTGTGCAGAGAGGCTACCAGCAAAGTTGGGAAAATGAGAATGAAAGTTTTTATCTAATAATGAACATGAACACGATGAAAGGCAAGACTTTTAGTATGGATATTTCAGTAAAACACAGAAGAACTGGTAAATTTAAAGCTTTGAAAACTTTGGATGAATTTGACTCTTTTAATCCCCATGCTAACACAAAGCTAGAATTGTAGGCAGTTCAGGAGTCACAAACATGTTTGGAAAATGTCAAGCGTGTGTTACTTTTCTCCCTTTCAATAAAATGCCAACAGATTTTTTTTCAAATGAAAATTGATTTGTGTTTTTGTACTATGTGTAATGAAAAATGGAGGAAGCCTGGTAAGATCTAGTGGAAAAGTTCTAAGTGATGGTTATTCTTGCACAAATAGTGTGATTATTTGGCATAGTAAACCATATCATTGTAACATTCAATCTAAAGTGTTTAAGTACCTCAAACAAAGCTTCATGTGAGCTTTTTTGCCGTACCTGAGGCAGCTGCTCCCTAGTGGACTTTTCATTAGTGTCAGAAGTTGAAAAAGCACTGGCAGAGAAGGCATAGCCTGTATTTACCAGCTCCTGTAATTGAGAATGGATGTTTTTAATAAAGGGTTGTTTTAGCGATACAAACATCCTTTTTGTCAGAGACAGGTGTCATGAATACCAGGTTAAAAATTATAGTCTGTACTGGAATAAGAGAGTAGCAGTTGCCAGACTTCTTGATTCCTTTCAATAAAGCTTTATCATCTAAGCCCACCTCTTAATAGAACCAACAAATAAAGGTACACGCACCAGCTTATCCTCCTGCTCTTTCCTCAAGTCAACCCCTGCCTTGTCTTCCTTTCAAGACTTGTCCCAGCCCTTCTGGCCATGCATACCTCATAATGTTCTTTGAAAAACAGCATGGAGTTCATCATACAGTCACTGTGAGACAGCCTTTGGCTCTGCTTGTTCCATAAGTCAATTTTCAAGTGCTGATTGCCCATTGAAAACATGGAAATGGTTACTGTGCTTGATTTGTTGTGTATTTGAGTATTCATTCTTTTTTTCTTTGTCTCTCCTCCTCACCCCAGCTTTGCCTGATATTGACTCTGTGTGCTGTATTCTGGGTAAGTGAGAATGCTTTTTAGAAAAAAAAAAATTGGTTAGTTTATTAATTGTATTGTAGCTTTAAGATACAGTTCAGTGGTGAAGGAAAGGTGAACTCATGTGTGGTGTTTCTGTTGTCGGCTGCAGTTGAGCTCAGGTGTAGTGATGAGCCTGGTGGCTGTAAAAGCAAATGCATCCTTCCACCTGCATGTGATGTAGATGAGAATGCAAAATCTAGAGCAATGGGCACAGTCTGCAGACCTCTAGAATAAAAACTAAGAAAACCAAGTTCAAATATTGTTTTGTTTCAGTGATGCACACTTATGTCAGAAAATACCAGAGTTTATAGCCATCTTCAGAAGCCATGGATACAGAATGTTAAGCTGCTTAAGACAACAGAAAAAAAGCAGAAGTATCTTCAGGCATCTTGGTTGAAAACTAACTGTGTTTACATTCCATAGAAGTAAATGGCATGAACTTCGATATTTGCAGAAGTACAGTGAAGTGATTGTGTGTTAACACTGATTTGTTAGGTGTTTCCAAAGCTAGAAAAGGTTTACATAGCATGATGCTAATCGAGTGATGGATAAAATGAATGGAGAGTTGTTGGGAAAGAAACAGCAAACTAAGACAAGGAAATTTAGGCATTTTCAGCTAACTCAATTCTTGATTGATCAGTCTGTGCCAATTGTTTGCAATATAGGCTGATGTGGTGCAAAATGTACTAATTTGCAGTATTTGCTTTATTTTTGTTTAGTGGAACAAAAAAGGTTTGGCAATGTTATTCTGCATATTGCAGTTCTTGGCAATGACCTGGTAAGATTCTTAAAATTTCTTTTAATTTCTTCTTCCTGCCCCTACATCCGCATGATTATAAACCTTTATAGATATGATTCATATATAAGTGTGCCCAAATGCTAGCCTCAATCTGTTTTTTCTCAGCTAGGTTGTGTAACTCCAGCAAAATCTATATTCAATCGTCTTGCAAAAATGTTAATTTGAAGTATATTCTGCAATGTGTGAACATATCTGAAGCCTTACGAAAGGAATACATATGCAAAAAAAAAGTCATGCTTTTTCTGTATTGTAAAAATATACTCTCCTCTTTTTTGAATTCTAACTATTTTGATTTTTGAAGTGAAAGAAACAAAAGAACATTTTCATAGGGTATGTCCTGCCCCAGAATATACTGGGTAAAGAGTGGGTGGATGTGAGAGGGTGAATTTAGTGCAGCAGGTACTTTGATGACCAGGGGCTCGGGGGCTGGCTTTGGCAGTGTGTGAGTGCTGTCAGGTGAATGCTTGCAAGCCTGACAGAAGTTCTGAAAGTTACTGCCTTTTCCACAGAGATACATGCTTGGTGTCCTTGTCCCAGGTGAATTACTTGGTGCTCACTCTCAAGGTGACCACAGTTCTCACTTGAACTTGCCCTGGGTACACAGAGTCTGTACTGAACCTGGGTCTGAGGACAAGGAACCATTTGTTCAGGACAGGGATTGTTTGGCATGGTGCTAGATAGAGGGAGGACTGCTATCTCAGACTGTGCTGTGTGTGTTTGCAGCAGACAGTTCACATTTGTTAAGTGTCCTGGGGTTTGATCAGGCTGGGCATGAGAACAGAACACTGCCTGGAGGCTTGTGAGAAGCAAGTTTCAAAGAATAATAGAATTGTCAGCTATTTGAGTGTCACCGTTGTGGAATATTATTCATCCTACAGTATGTATCTCTATTTAGTTACATAAATAATATGATTAGATGTATATTTGCATAGTAATTTAGATTGTCTTTTAAACTGGAAAAAGTTGCCTTTATCATCTTGAGTACCATTTTCCCACAGATCTCTATTCTTTTTTGGATTTGGCAATAGTAAATATATTTTTTAAGTTCATATGCAATAAAAGTTAGGAACTACATTTAAAAGAAAAAAATCTTGACCAAACAAAAAGTAAACCACCATGTCACTGTTTAGTTCTTTTCCAAACATGTCTTTTCTCAGGTAAGCATTAAATTAAATAGGTAAGTCTTGTTTAAAATTTTGTTACAGCAGGTTGCTTTTATTAATGCTGGCCTAAAGTGAAATAGTTTGGTTCTAGGAGAGACATGAACACTCTACAAATACACTTTTTCCTCTTTTTTTCAGGTATAGTCTGTCTTATATTCCTTTTGCAAGGTGAGTCTGCATAATAATTTCTGTCTCAACAAAATTCAGTTACTTTTATGCTGAGGAAAGGCATAATATACTTTGTGTGTGGAAAAATAAAACATCCTCCTTTTTATTTTAATTTTTAGAAAATGGCATAGCTGAACTTAAAAGTCATGCTTAATATAAGCTTTAAGTAGAAGTACAATACACAGTAATTCTCTTTAATAAATTTCTCTCTAGTTTCTACCACTGAAAATTAATCAAGGTTTTGTTTCAATAATGTCTCCAATGATTTACCAATACAGTGATGCAATAGTGACTTTTCTGATACTAAAATTAAAGATAACTTAGGATCTGAGGTCCTTGTTAAAAGCAAATAAGCAACATAGTGGCAGCTTCTGTTTCTATTTCTGAATTCCTCCATCACTTTCAGGAGGGGAAAAGGCAATGCTTTGTCTTTACTTCCATTTTGGCAAGCTCCTCTCTGCTCCTCTCTTTTTTTCATTCTTGTGTGTACAAAAAGGGAATGAAAGCAGACCAAACACTTAGTAGAAACACATGTATGTAATCAAATGTAAGAATCCTTCTATGATTCATGTAAAAGGCAGTTTGAACTTCCTGACGGTGGGTTTTTTAAAAAAACTTAAGCACTTCCATATCATTTAATGAGGCTTGCTGTACTAGAGGTGTGGGGAAAAAGAATACAAAGTATTGTCTATCCCTTTCATCTGATATTTTCCTGTAGCATTGCCAAAAAAAAAAATCTGTTCTGTTTTTTTATAGCTTCAAATTTCATCTAGGAAGGATTTTTTTTTTAAGATAGTTTTTGATAATTACAGTGAATAAAATAATTGAACTCAGGCTTCAAACTGTAATTTTACTATTTCTGACAACTCAGACTAACCCAGACAGAAGTAGTATTCTGAATTCTTATAGGTCCAGTGGCTGTGAGACAGTCTCAGTAGGTTCATTTCTTTTTTTGTCTTTTTTTTTTTTTTTTTTTTTTTTTTTTTTTTTTTTTTTTTTTTTTTTTTTTTTTTTTTTTTTTTTTTTTTTTTTTTTTCTCTGTAGAGAAAGCAAGTTGAGCTTCCGGTCTTTCTGACTTTTTCTTCCCTGTCAACAGTACTTCTAAGTTCTGGGCAGAAAAATACTAGGCTGTGTGCATCACTTAACTTCTTTGGGTTTATTTATCTATTAGATTTTATGAGCTAAAGAATTGAATTTTACACAGACTGCTTTTAGTAATTTTCATTTTAGTAATTTAGTAATTCTAGTGATTTCTTTAGGGATTACTGAGTTATTTGCTTTTGTGGAGTGGTATCATAAATTTGTTGTGTAGACTGCCTTTCTTATGGGAACAATGATCTAAACCATGCTAAGTGCCAGAGAATAGTATTATGTAATTTTTTAAAGTATGCATTTCTCTTGATTTCATGAAATTATCATTTCTTTGTTTAACTCTATTCATGGTGTGCTATTCAGAACATTTTACTTGCTCATGGGTTTTTTGGGGTGGGGGTTGTTGGTTTATGTTTGTTTTTTCCTAAATTAATGGTAGCTCTCCTGTTGGCCTGGCAACAAAAAACCCCACCAAACCAGATCCAAATGAAAACAACAAATGCAACAAAACCAAAGCCCACACAGGCAGAGTGACTTTAAGGAATGATGATAGTATAATTCTTTATTTTTGGAACTGACTAGCAACAGAATACAAATTCCGCTCCTTAGTAAGTTGGTGGAGGCACTCACACACAGATCCTGCTATTGATCCGCTATTGCTGTGTCTTTAGTTTCTGCCATATTTGTAATTGTAAATAGGTAATGGTTTGTTTAGATGTTTATAAACAAAATAACAAATCCTAACTGACTTTTTTTTTTTTTTCTTTTTTAAAGGGATGCTGTGATTAAATGTTTCTCATCCTGTCTAGGGTAAATTAAACCCAGGAACCACTGTCCACTTTAAAAGGCAACTTTTTCCTCTGTAAATTTTGCTTAAAATCTCCACTTTTCCACTTCTGAAATACCCAGTGGCAGTTCAGTATTTTTCTTGCCTTTTGCACTTGGGAGATTAATAATTTTTACTAGAAACATTTTATAAAATAATTTGGAGAATTACTTGTGTTTACCCTGGAACTCCCAGGCTTTTTTTTAACAAGAAAGTACATTTAAATACTTCATACAGAGTAGTCTTAGCACTACTTTTTAATCCCCTTAGTTTATTCCCCAGTGGAGGCAAGTCAGTAAAGCCTGGGTAGTATGCATAAAGATTTCATTTGCAGTTCTGTCTAAAACTTGCAATGTACCAGTTATGCTTGTGTATTATCCATTGTATGCTTTTCCAAAGACAGAGTTTTATAAACATTGTAAAGATTTGGAAGGTTGTAATTAACTTCTCTTTTGAAATGTCTACACATGTGCCTTATGGAAAAAAACTTATTGAGAATGTGAAAAGTATGTTTAAACTTGTTGGATTTTATTAAAAAGAAAGTTGTATTTTAAATGTTTTTTTTTTTTTAACTTTCATACTGAAATACTTTTTACTAAAAAAACTTACGGCTAATGTATAAATGGGACTTGTGAAATAAATTCATTTTAAAAGTGCCTAATACATTCTTCTTTGAGAATCAGCTAAAGAGGGCTGAAAATTTCAGCATTTCACTTGAATGAAGATGAAAGCATAAATGTGTGTGTATGACTATATCCAAATTTGTTTAATAGATTTGCGGAACTGACCTTAAAGGTTCTTTTAGTATTTAAACAAACTGTTCATTCTGACTTAAGCTGGTAATAGATTGAAATACTATAACACTTTGCCTGGCTC